TTCAGTCTCGTTTCTTCCAACCATTCGGGTGGTTTCTTGGCTTTTTCTCTGTGATATTTCTGAGGACAAGTTTTGTACTCAGAGAATTGTCACAAATTTTAAACTTTGATTGTTCCCCTTTTTTACAGACTTTTCCAAGAGCCACATTATCGCTTCGCGTCATTGCCCAATTAAACCGAACTCGCGAAAAATCAAATCAAGTCAATTCAAGTCAAATCAGCAAAATGTTCAAAATCGCGAGTTTAGTTTTGATGGTTGTTGTCGTTCTCGCGTGGAATGACGACTGCGTAAACGTTTGTGATAAATATTACTGGTATCAGGTGATGTTATCAGGTGAAGGTATCAGGTGAAGGGAAGACATTTGCGAGGCTCGATACGCTTCGTATTACAACGACGAGGTGATTTTTGTCGGACGGGTGCTGAACTTGCAGTGTGTGTTGATGCGGCATTTGAAGGTTGGTTTTCTTTTTCAACATCTGGAAGAATAGGAATTATTAGTTTCCGCTATTTTTAGAAAGTTACATTGACCACTCAAGTTTGGTGTCGGGGCACTGTGACGGAAAGAGTTCAGAAAATTGTCACCCCGTGGTGGTACTGTCAAGGTATGGACAAAACGAAAACTACTAGTACCAGTAAAACTTCTGTGACAGTTTCCACGAGTGAGTCTTTTCGAGTTTCTTGTAGCCAATCTGATTTTCTAAAATCTGTACTAAATTCTTTCAGAAACTATTTCAACTACTCCCATGACAGACTATACAACCGTTGATTCGTCAGTGGTTTTGGAGATGAGCACTGAGGTGTCCACTTCCGTTTCCACGACGCAAACAATTTCAGCACCAACTTCCACTATTTTTGTCCCTGGTCCGGTGCCGGAAGTCCCGTTGGTGGTAGAGATGAATGAGCCAATTGAAAGGGTGATGGTCACGTATGAGCCCAAAAAATCGGGTCATACTTGGCTATTTTATCTTTTGATTGGGTTGGTCATCTTTTGCGTCTTGTTGCTTGCCATCTTGTCAGCTTTGATTTATTTGAAATGGAGACCGGTAAGTTTGCAAAGTTTTAATTTTTTCTGTTCTTAAAAGCATAAACTTTCCAAACTTTCAGGTTAGGCAAATCGTAAATTCGGTTGAAGATACTATTAGGATTTACAACCCTTTTTTCTCTGACGGAGCTGATTCATTTGAACTCAGCGCTTGATTGATTTAGTGCTCATTTGACCTCACCATTCATTTGAACTTGGCACTCATTTGACCTCAGTGCCCATTTGAATTGGTGTTCATTTGAATTGGTGTTCATTAGAATTGGTGCTCATTTGAATTGGTGCTCAATTGACCTCAGCGCTCAATTGACTTCATCACTCATTTGACCTCAGCGCTCATTCGACATCAGCGCTCATTTGCATTCGGCGCTCATTTGACTTGTTGCTCATTTGATCTCAGCGCTCATTTGAACTTGGCGCTGAGTTGACCCCGTACCTCAGAGACAAGCTGTCGACAAAGGACGCGGTTTTCCCATAACCCCAGGCAACAAAAACAGCCGAAATACTTCTTTTCTTCTCCCCTATGCTCGTCATGTCGCACGTGTTCCACGGATGTCGTCAGACCCGTCAGCAGGAAAACGAGAAGGAAAATAAAATGAGTTGGAGGGGGAAGAAACTCTGACGACAGGGAACTAACGGAACAAG